TGGGTTTCACACAGCTGAATAAACGCCAAACAGAAAACTGATTAAAAGTGTGAGATGGTTGAGAATTTACGCCAGTGTCCTGCTATAATTTAGATGGCAAGGAGCAGACAGCTGAGTTTATTAAACACCACTGAGACAGCAGTGACACAAATCTGAAGGCTAGACCCTCCCATTTCACAGCCTCGCACTTCCGGCGTTATCGGTCTTTGAAGGACCCGGCCCACGTAGACCGCGAAGGCCGGGTCCTCCGAAGGATGCGGCCTAGGTTTTGATATACTAATCTTTGGGAAAGTTACCCTCAGCCCCTTTGATGTGTACAGTTGGTAATTTAGTAAATAATGGTCCCAGTTACCTGCAACCGTATTAACAGAAAAAGTGCAATGTTATAATTATTGTATTAACTTAATTTTTCTATGATACCTCATTTGAAAGGTATCATAGTCAAAACCCTAAACCTAACTCTAGACTTAATGGCAGTGGATGCTAAGACTTAAGATGTCTGCTATGAAAATGCAGCTTTTCCAGCTTTAGCATGAGTCTAAGAATGTCTAAAATACACCCAGCAGTGGTCATAGAGTCAGCTTCTCTTCTCTGTGCAGGTATCTGTACTGTGGGGAGCTTTCTCTGCGTCTGGACCAGGCCACTCCTCTACACAAGCTGGCCACTAAGTATCAGGTGCTGAGTCTCCAGCAGGGCATCACCCAGTACATGACCCAAAATCTGGCCAGGGACACCCCGTCAGGCCACGTGGCAGGCTGGTACGAGTATGCCCTGCAGGCCGGGGATGTGACTCTGAGGGACAGTTGTCTTCAGTACATGGCCTGGAACCTGTCGTCTCTTCTGCAGAGCGGCGAGTGGGTGACCATCAGCAGCCAGCTGCTTATGTCCCTGCTGCAGCGTTCTGACCTCATCCTGCAGAGTGAGATGGAGCTCTTCTCAGCCCTGGAGGCGTGGATTATCCAGAACGATCCGGACGGTTTGACGGCTGAGAACGCTTTGAGAGCTGTGCGCTACGCCATGATCCCCCCACGGGAGCTTTTCCTCCTACAAACCCAGTCCACAATCCTGGCTCGCTATCAGGAGTCGGTGCGTGACCTGCTCTACATGTCCTACCAGTTTCACTCGGCCTCGCCACTACAGATGGCCAAATACTTTGACGTGAACTGTAGCCTCTTTGTGCCCAGGAACTACCTGTCCCCAGTGTGGGGGTCCCCCTGGATCGTCAACAACCCGACACGGGACGACCGCAGCATGAGTTTCCAGACCCAGCTGGGGCCCAGCAACCATGACGCCAACAAACGCGTGACTTGGAACGTCCTGTTCTCCCCGCGCTGGTTGCCCCTGAGCATGAGGCCCATGTACACCGAGACGGGCGCCATGCAGCCGACTCGCGTAGAAGGCGGGCGTCCTCGCATCATCATCACGCCTGCCACGTCCAGCACCGACTTTGCTGGAGTGAGCTTCCAGAAGACGGTGCTGGTGATGGCTCAGCAGCAGGGGAAGGTGGTGGTGAAGCACGTCTACAACTTCCACCAGAGCACAGAGGAAAACGGCGATTTCTTGGCCGAAGCTGACCTGTACCGCCGGACATCTGAATATCTCATGGACAGCTCCCTGTTCCTCCATATTGTTGTGAAGCCACTGTACCAAACCCTCATAAGCACCAAGAATTAACCTCACTCCAACCCTCACTCATATCCCATCATGGAGACGTGGACCTGAGTCATTGGAGTCACTGAGCAAATAAAAAACAAAGATCCTGATTCAGGACTGCCTGAGAGCATTTTGTGAGGGTAAAATCATAGTGGAAAGATGGTGACAGTCTTTATTCGTCTTGTCCAAGTGCTGAAAAAAACTCACTAGAGGACCAAACAGAAATTAATCTGCCACTGAAATTAGTCCCCAAGAAATGCACCATTTCATCCAGGCTGAAGAGTATTTAATAAAAACACAGCATCCAACTATCTGAGAAAATTACTGCACCATAAAAACCTTGGGTATTAAAGTTTAAAGTGACGTATGGGCTAACACGCTAATAATTTTGGTCTTTTTATGGGATTTATTGGCACTCAGGAAAATACAGAACATCACCAGCTTCGTCCTTTATTCTTGAGGTTGTTCCTTTGTCATACACTGATTTGTTATTGGTGCTATTATACCCCATTTACACATAAAGGGGTCACAGCTGATATTCACTGCCCGGTGTGCACTGATCTAAAGCTTTGCTGATTAAATTATACCCTGATGTTAATGTTTGCTGATGGATTTTGTATTAGCTGTTTTTGTTTTTTTGATTATATTTTGTGTTGTTGTGAAATATGGTTGAAAAATTGTAGATGGCTCAATTTTTTAAATCAGTAAATTGTTAATTCAGTGCTTACTGGAAAGTAAATTGATTTTTTTAAACATTTTTCTTCTACTTGTATGTTATAACTTATTTAGAAACCCAACCTGTACTCCTTCTCACCGATGTCGCAGCACCTCGTTAGCGAATCCATTAATGTGATCGATGCGGTTACTTACATCCACTGCTGCATTAATCAGTGTCGCCTGGTAATAAAGATTGTTTCATAAGTTTTAAAAACTAAACTGAATATTGTCCTGATTGTCTTCCGGCTTATGTTTTGTCACCACATGCAAAAAATTATTTTCTGGCAAATGTCAGTTTATCAATTGTTTTTTTTTTTACTTTATCAAATTTATTTGTCAGATATAAAAAAAACAACAACATGTAAGTAAGAAGAACCAAGCTTACATTTAAAATTTTAAATCATTTGGCTCCCAGCTATCTATGCAAACTCCTTCCTAATAAACGAACTCCCTAATAAGTCACTTAGATCTTCCAATCAAACTCCTGACGCAACCGAGGTCTCGTTTGAAGTCCAGAGGTGATCGGGCCTTTGCTGTCGTAGCTCCCAGACTCCTTATATTCATTCCTCTGAGTTGATCCAGTCTACAGCTGCCCTGGGGCGCACTGACAGTGGCGAGGCTGCCGGACACTGGCGCCACCGGGCCCTCTGACCACCACCAGTAGGCAACGGGTGAAGTGTCTTGCCCAAGGACACAACGACCGAGACTGTCCAAGCCGGGGCTCGAACTGGCAACCTTCCGATTACAAGGCGAACTCCCAACTCTCGAGCCACGATCGTCATATTGTCATATTGCTTCCTGCCCTCCTTTTAACTGTTTCTTTTTATTCTGTCTTATCCTTTTGCTCTGACCGACTGTGAAGCACTTTGGTCAACTTTGTTGTATTATTATGTGCTATAGAAATAAATTTTGATTTGATATTGCAACTGCTTCATTTAAGCAGACCAAAAAAAAATGCTTGCCTTAGATGGACACAACGCGTAACATCCCCTCCAAATCTAATAGACTTAAAATAAATAAGAAAAATGAAAAATTATTATGATATTTTTTCTTATTAAAACCACAAAACTGCTTTATTACATGCAAATAAAAGTTTTTTTTTTTTATCACATAGATGTACTATTATGGCTTCATTAACATGTACTGTAGGATAATCCTGATATATTTCTGTGTTTAACTTCTACTGTGATTCTCAGGTGTAAGGCAAAAATTCAGAAAACAGATCACGTCGATTCCATCCTCCTCTTTCAAACTTACTAACAAAAACATGCTGAGACAACAGAAAGAAGAAGTGACATGAGCTCGTCACCGAGGACTTGGTTTCATCTTCTGAAACGGAAAAAACATCATGAACTTTTCTGTAAAGTCAAGTGTTGTTGTGATTTCTAAAATATTGTTGTGTTTTGTACCTCGCAGCCCCTCTAACGTCTTATTAACGTGATATTATTGCTCTACGGTTCACAGCGTTTTCTGTCTGGATTCTTTGCAGACACCTGAACAAAGAGTGTTTAAAACACCTGCGATTCATTTGATCAAGTTTCCTTTTATGCAAATTTATATTTTTTTTACTTTTCACTGCACTGACATCACTGCTGACTCTTCAGATGATAATTCTATAAATAATAAAGTGATGCACAGAGCTCAACAGCAGAAAGCTGCACAGAAATGAAAGGAACAGTAATAATAATGCAGCAATAATTCTGCTGCATAATCAGTGCTTGAACTTTTGTACTTTGCTCGTTGCTCATATTAAACTTGCTCAGTCTCAAATAAAGAAATCAGTGCAGGCTCGAGTAATCCCTGAGCGCCACGGGTTTAAACCTTACTGACCTGCCACACTCACCTTTCTCCCACTGACTGTTTTTGCTTTCTCTGTGCTGACTTTGATCCATGGTATGATTTAATCAGCTAATTTAAAAAACATTGAACCAATTTCTATCATAATTCTTCCTTCGGATGTTCCCTATTGGGGTTGCCACAGTGGATCTGCTGCCTCCATCCCACCCTGTCCCCAACCCTCAGAATGTCCTCCTTCACTACATCCGTGATCCTCATTCTTTTCCTGGCAGCTTCATCTTTAAAATCCCTTGTCCATTGTATCCACGATCCCTCCTCAGCACACGTCTAAACTCTTTCAGCCTCGCTTTTCTAATTTGTCTCCAGTCAATTCAGTTTTATTTATTAAGTGGCAAATCAAAACAACAGTTACCTGAAGGGGCTTTATATTGGAAAGCAAAAACCCCACAAAGGTCACAGCGTATGGCCCCTGCATGAGTCTGAATCTCATGGAACTCTCTTCCTGTTAAAAGGGAGTTCTTCCTCCTTGCTGTTACCAAGAGCTCCCTTAGGAGTTCACTCTCTAATATCTCTAAGAATAATATAGAATAATAAGAAAAGAAGCTGAGAGTGACTTTTTAACGAATACAGATTGAATTTATTACAGAATGTGCAGATTTCTTAGCTGGTGCAAGATTTTTTTTATGTGTTTTACAAACTATTGCATCATGAAATCGATGCTGAAAATGTACAAAACCCACCAGAAATGAATATAACAGTCAGTGTTTCCATTGCATCCTGTGTGCACAGACGAAACCCACACCCACTCTTTTTTAGGATACGTTACAAACTTCAGCGTCTTTGCAGTTTCGAAATTAAAACGCCGCAGCGCTCACTACATTTCCCACAAGCCTCCGCGGCCCAAGCAGGAAGAACGTTCTCTCGCAGGGGCTCACACTGATCCAAGTTAGGAGCTTTCCGCTGCCAGCCTTGGCCCATCATGTAAGTGCTGCGGAGAATTCTTTGCAGTGCATTTGCAGAATTACCTGATTTCCCGACGGCCGTGCATCCGTCCCGGCGCCCTGCGCACGGACGCGCACGCTTCGGACGCGAAAAGGCTCCAAGTGCATGAAGATCGAGGCTTGTGTTTTTGCATCTTTGTTGCAGAAAGCGAGCCGCTGAAGCTCCAGTGCGAGGGCGATGGAGGGAGGGAGTGAGAAAGAAGGCAAAGTCTTTTGTGCTTCCCCTCCCCCTCATCAAAGCAAAGGGGAAATGTCTCAGTCGAAGGGAGGTAAGAATATGAAACCGATGTGTGCAAAACTAGCGATATGCAATCACGGCTGCACGAGCTGCAACGTGCACCGCTGCAGGTCGAGAACGGCCGGTGCATTTTAAAGTTAGACGGCTAAGAAGGGTCAGTTGCATTTCCTGTTTGAGATCTTCCCCTTTGCACAGTTCCTGGTAAGACGATGCTGTGTGGACTCACTAGTACTGGCGCTATTAGCAGCGCACAGGCAGGGATGTAGAGCACGGGGCGCCTTAATAGTCACGAGATAGACGGTCTTTATTAGGAACTCTGCACGAGTTGACGCGTGGCGCGTGCACGCTTTTCGGGGTAAATCATGAAAGCCTTGTCGCGTGCAGGGCTCTAAATATGTGGTTTGGTGCATAGGGGAGGGGGTGGTGGGGGGTGGCATGACGTGACAACCTGCAGCTGTCAGTGGACAAGTTTGTGTGTTTGTAGGCTGCAAATTTATTTCAGGTCGTGAGGAGAGAAAATGCAACAAACTGATGGCAAAGCGACCCGCGAGCTTTAAGGTGGAGGGTTCAGGAACAGGGCGCACTCTCTGCGCTTTGCAAAGTGTGTCAGCTGCTGCTTCTGTCCAGCAACTGGATATGTGTCAAACCCCTGGGTGTCCACCGATGTGCAGCTTTCCCCCCTCTGCATGCCTGTCACACTTTTGACCCAACTTTACCACCCTGCAGCAGCAAGAGGTGGAGGAGGAGCTGTGCTCAGCTTCCCCCCTGCAGCCTCTTTAAGATCATCAGTGAATGGAGCTTGCAGTGGAAGAGCCAAACAGCTGCAGTGAGAGCAGCTCGGGCCTTTTTTCTCTCCCCTCACCGTGATTTCCAAGAAGTGCAAAGTGAGGCTGGTTTGTTGCACAACATGCAGCATTCTCTCTCTCTCTAACACACGCACACATGCACGCACTGAGAGGCTGCACAGGAGGTGAACAGGTAGGAGAGAGCAAGAGCCCCCCTAATGGTCAGATCCTGTTTATCTGCTCCAGTTGAGTGTCCACCCACACGGAGGAATTGTCTTGTTGCAGCCAGCTTATCACGTGGTGAATAATGCAACACGTTTTATTTATGTTTTGTAGATGAATGAGTTGGTTTGGGACTTTCCTGAGAGCAGAAGTCGGTTTCTGTTGTCATCCATTGACGTCGGTAGAAGCAGAAAACTGCACATGTGCAGTCGCACGAAAAGTGAATGTAGGCCCAGTTAAGATCTCGTCTTTGATTTAAAATGACATCCACTTGGTCACCTTTCAGCTGAGAGATGATTTGGTGATCGCTCTGCAGCTTTTCTCAGTAGGTGAATATATTTACTGATGTCTGCACGATGACAAGTCATTATAACATCTGCTCAAAGCTTCTGACATCTTGGACCTGACAAATATTTCTCCTTTAGTGTGAAACCGTAAACATCACAACAGTAAAAACTAGCCTCAGACCGATCATTTAAATGAAATGCAAACAAAAAAACAAAACAAATTAAAAAGATGTGTTGTTTCTCTGACTTTCTGTGGATTAGTATCAATACTAATAGATAAATACGCTCTCGTAGTACATTTGTAAATGATAAAATTTCTGATTAAAAACTCCACTGAGGTTTGCAAGAACCCTTCGGCTGATCACAGAGCACACAGCGTTATCGCCACAGGCTAAAGACGGAAAAGTTGGCAGCATTGTTAACGGGGGCACATTTTGCTGGCTGGCTGGCCAGGTCGCGCCCCCAGGTGTGTGTGTGTGTGTGTCTATGGTTGCGCTGAGCGAGTATTTTCACCTCATGCTGCAGAGGTGCACTGTGTATTTGCATTTTATGCATCAAAAGCTGTTCCTTAAGCTACATTTTCAGACAAAATTCTGAGAGATATTTGCAGAAAGTGAAGTTAAGAAAACAGATTTTGGAAATGTTGGAAAGTGCGGCTCTTTCTTCTTCATTTTCTTCTTGGCTTTTTACATGCTGTGTCACATATGTGATTAGATTAAAACAGATTACAAAATGTGATCTTTTATAGACCGATGAAATTACAGAGCTGTGTATAAAAGAGTTAAAAATAGCTCCACCAACTACTATGGTAAAAATCTGTTCAGACATGAATACATCAGGATGAGAAAAAATACATTTTAATATGAAATAAAAGGACTCCTAAAGGCCTTTTACCTAGAACACATTTTGTTTATTGCAGCTTTGTACACTAGGGTAATATAGAGCAGTAATAAGTCAACTATAGCAATTATGTAGACCTTTGAAAAAAAATTTTTTTATAATTTACTTTGTCGCACATCATAGTACGCTGGTTATCTTTGGGTTTTCATAATTGTTACGGCTCTGATTTCTAGTGAAATTCTCATACCAGAGATGTTGGAGCCAACAAATATTTTGACTCGAACAGACAAAATACTGCTCAAATACAGAACTGAATAGAGTTCAGAGGTGCTTATTGAATTTTCTGACCTGCTATGTAAACAGGAGAATCCAGCGTTTTCTCGTGGGTTTATATTCTGTTTGTTGCAGGAGTGCATATGCACGCATGCAAGAAATCATTGAAAAATATCTAAGTGTATGTATCTATGTGTACGCTTTGCAACATAATTTATGGTTGGTTATCACACCCAAAAAGTCTATTTTCATGAACTATATTTCATCATTATTCATCACAATGTTGCGTTTATTGGTTACATTACATTACATATTACTTGCTATCAATAGCCTCATAATTTATGTTGTGATATTTCAAGAAAATTTGTAGTAATGCCATTTATGACGATATAGAGGTAACTGAAGCGCACAGGAACCAACAGTTATTAGTGCAAACTAGGTTAAAGGGAAGTTTCAACCAGCGACTGTCATTGATGATAAAGCAACTTTCAGCTGCTCCCTTTTTTTTTTTTTAAGGGGTCGTCACAGCAGACACATCAGTATGATAAACTACCCAATGTGCCAGCAGCAGAAAAAGTAGAGCAAAGTACCCTGGGTTAGGGCTGTTCGATATAACGATATATATCGGATGACGATATAAAAACGTCTATCGTTTCATTTTACGCCATCGTTTGTTTCGTGGTGTCGCAAAATAAACTGTTTATGGCAATATTTTTTCATCGTTTTGATGGTCACTGTAGTGGCTATATTAATTTCTTAAAGTTCTCTCTTTCTCTTATATTTAATATAACCACACTACAGACGGACAAGCACCTGTTTTTATGCGTTGTCGTTAGCAACAACGACAGTAAAACCATCGTGTGTCCGCTTGTTTATTTTCCACATAAACCTTTCACAATAAAGCTCAAGATCCTGTTGAGACTTTAAAAAAAAAAACCTGAATCACGTGAAAGATGCAGAGTATTTACGGATAAGAAGCAAAAAAGAGCCGTCAGGTGCTAAAAAGTAAACCTTTTCCCCGCAGCACGCCGTGTAATAAATACTCACAAAGAAAACGGCGGCCGTTACAACTTATATCTAAAAATGCATCATTTAATGCATCGGTTAAAACACTCGACTCCAGGTACACGACGCACAGCTGGAAACACTTCACGCAAGTGGAGCTGCCCGAGATTCACAGAATTTACAGAAAATGTTAAATCTTTGTGATTTATATCGTTATCGGGATGTTTTATATCAGGATATGAGATTTTGGTCATATCGCACAGCCCTACCCTGGGTAGTGTTTTCTCTGGACATTTTAAGTAAAAGTAGAAAGCAACTGCTTACTAAAGTAACTCTGGAGCTGCACAGTATTGCCAGATAATAAAATTGAAATTTTTTACTTTAATTTACTTTCCACCTGAGATGTTGTATCTTGGGCCGAGTTTTTTAACCAGTTGCTTTTTGACCTCCCATATAACTTCAGGTGTTCAGTAGTTTCCATCCGCAGCTTGTTCTTCCTGTCATACGAGTTCAACTCAAGCTAAATATTATACCAGTATTATTGTGCATGGTTTGATATGGCACAGCCCTATTCCATGTGTTGGGTTGATACATTTTAGTAATGCCACACTGTTTCTTTAAAACTTTCAGTTCCCTTTCCACTTTATTCCGCAGCTGTTCCAGACCTTTTACCAGAGCAACATAAGTTAGTGTCAGCAGAAAAAAAAGTGAATTTTAACACATACCATCTGTGTACAATATGAAGAGTTAAAAGGGCCCAGTGCTGAACCTTGTGGAACCCCAGAAGTGAACCAGAGTCAGTGTTATTCATTTGTACATACTGATGTGTATCATCAAGGTAACTATGTAACCATTTCTCTTTAGTTTCCATTAGTAATATGTGAACTACACTCATATGCAATGTATGTTCCTCTATGCTTTTAATGAATAACAAATACAGGCCTAAAATGAGACTTGAAGAGAACATTAAGGCCTACCTGGAGCCCACATTACCACAGCAAATGTCTCCCCTCTCTCTAAACACTGAAAGATTTACTGTGAAATGTAAGGACGTGGCTCCGGATGGGATTTAAATTACAGCGAGAGCGGCAGCTTCACAGGAAAACAGGAGGTAATTTCAGCTGTAATTATTGCCTGGGAGGGGCTCAGAAATTGCTCACATATGCATTCTAGACTGGATTCAAATGATTAGGGGAGGTAAATATTCAAATGTTTCATCTCCCCAAGAGAAACGACTCGTGTTCTTAAATGTTGGTCAGTCAAATGTTTTAAGAAAAACTAACGTTGACAGAAGTGTGACTGAAGAAGAGAATGTGATGAGGTTTGAGCTGCCTCTCCTTCTGTTCTGACACGGCTAAAAGTCTTGCTGCTGCTTCTACTTGAATGTTGCCCAACAAGGTTTTTACCCTGACTGCTGTGCACTGTGCACAGTGACGGCCCTCCCAGCTCGTGTCCCGCCTGCAGCCCCGGCCGGCCCTCGCACCCCTTGCACAAATGTCCCGTTTGTCATGCAAATGGAGGCTGCGTTTTCAGCTGCGCGGATACTAAATTTGCTGTTTCGACGGACTGATTGTTGGTCTGCTTCCAGTTCTGTAGTGGCTTTTTCCCCCCTCTTGCAG